TACAAAATTAGCATATATAAAAAGCTTAGTTTTAAATTTAATTTGAGAGAAAACTGTTTTGTAAGGTCTTGTGGATCTGCATGGATTCTGAATCTACATACTCAAAAACATATATTCTAACATTTAGTTTTGCAAAAAAAAAAAAAAAAAATTTTATAAATCATTGAAGTTTTACGAATTTCCTATTTAAAATGATCGGCATGATCGGCAGAATATTCTGGAATCGATTCCAAATTTGGAAATACCCCTGACTGAACTATAATTTAAATTGCATAATTTAAAATTAAATATTATAATCGTATTACAATAAATTGCAGATCAATTAAACTTATAAAATTAGTTGCAACCAGTTGACAACTAATTATAATTTATTATTTAAATTAAATTGCAACTTTAATTTAAGTTGCAACTATTATAAAAAGTTGCAACTTTAATTTAAGTTACAACTATTATAAAAGCTGCAACTTTTAAATAGTTGCAACTTTAAGTTGCAACTATAATAAATTTTATAAAGTTGCAACTTATATAATTTAATTGCAGTTACCAACTTTAATCCTTTCAAAGTTCCACGTTGATCAAAAAATTTTTTTGCAAATTAGTAAAAGATCATCATTTTGATTTTACATTTAGCGTTAATAGCAATTTAAATTTATGCTGTACATCTAGGTAATACAGAGAAGTACATTTTGCATATTTTTATTAATATTGCGCAATATATGCAAAAGATAAAAAATTCGAATGAGTCCCTTTTTGTAGGGTAGAACGAAACGGAATAAATGATTTGTTATGCAGAATAGATTTCACAGAAATATTTTTTTGATATATTAGGATACAAGATGTTTTAATGATTTTTTATTGATTTTAAATAATAAATTTGGTAATTATCAATGATGAATAAATTTGATTATCATAATAAATCACAACGACGAATAATAATTTTAAGTATTTTTGAATGTGAACCGTGTAGCCTGCTGCATCTTATTGACCATTTTGAAAACATAAAGATTTTTTTTTAAAAAAAGAAACAGCTACAGTATTTAAGGAGCAAGGAAGCCATCCGCCTCCAAATTGCTGAATATACTGCAGCAAAACTACCTCTGCCTATTTCTTTAATATCACTAAACTGATTGTATATTATCCATTCAAATACTATATATATCATCATATTTATCAATTATTAATTGACGTAATTTAAATAAACTATTTATTTTTTAACTAAAAGATGGTTGATAAAATTGAAAATAATACGACCGTTGAGAAAACTCCTGAACAAAAACGGGATCATAAAAGAAGGAAATTTCGTTTAAAACGTTTGATGAGGGTCACAGATGAAAATTTAAGCCTCGTGAAAGATTCTCGATATGATTTATATTTAACTCTCACCCTTTGCTTTATTGCTATTATTATCGGTATTGTATTTATTGTTTTAAGAGGATTGGATAAAGACAAACAATATACCTACAAAATTGTATCAAATTCTGTAAGTGGAGTCGTAGGCGGTGATGTTCTACTTCAAAACGTAAAAGCTGTTTTTTCTAGTATGCTTTCAAAGAAGCAAGAGGGATAACAACGAGAAATAGGCTTTTCGGAAATTGATTATGACATTGTAAATATTTCTTTAGCCTATTCTAAAAGTGATGAAAATCTTAATGACTTATTTTTAAAGAGTGTAGAGAAAACCATCGAAAAATGGAATGATAAACTATGAATAACAAGAATTATGTGTTCGATAATTATAATTTTAGGTGTCCTTTTTCTCATAGCTTTAGTCCTTTTAGACATCTTACTTGATATTAAGAGTTCATCTGATGAAAATAGAATATATGGTTTTATAATAGACTCTGTTCTTATTGCTGGTGGTATAGTTGGTATAGTGCACTGTTAGGCCAGACATATTATCCTGTCGAACCCAAAAAAATTGGTTGAATGGTATGCTTTCATATTTTTATTTCATTTATTGTTTATAGGTTTTTATTCCGTTTGGTTGTTATAAATCGATAAATAAGGGGAAAAATAAATTTGAGCTGAAAAAAAATAATTTAAATCCAGAAAATGCGGAATATGAGGGGGGGAAGCAAAAATATGCGGAAAATGAAGGTGAAGAAAGTGCGGAAAATGAAGATGAAAAAAATTCAGAAAGTGAAGTTGAAGAAAATGCGGAAAAAGTGAAGTCGAGAGTATGTTGAAACAGTAAACCTGAGAAAACAGAAGTAGTAGTAACATATGAAAACTTCTTAAAACATAATGATAAAATTAGAGGATTGTGTTTTAGACCTACCATTTTGCGTGTTATTTTAGTTAAAGATGAAAGGGAGAAGGTAGAAAGGCTTCTATCCAGTTTAAATTTAGATTTCGATAAGGAAGTAACAAAGAATCCAAATGGACAAAAGAAAGAAACACCAATCCAAATAAAAATACAACCTTAGATATAAATTATCAGTTCCAAATTCAATTCGTATTTTTTAAATGTTTACTATCATTGTTAATTTCTCAATTTATTTATAACTAGGAAACAATCTGATTTTCATGAATTTATTTTTAGTCAATCAAAAAATGGTACGTATTAAAGCAGAAAATTCTGTGTCGATCTGTTCTGTTTATATATATTAATTTTTCAAACGCAAATACGAAATTTTTAAATGCTAAATATGCTGAATCACGATCTATTGGAAATCGGATCGGATCGGCTATTGAAAATTGTGCAAAGCTAATGATAATTTAATTTAGCTTAAACCATCTTGGCTTATTTTTTTAAGGATTATAATAAAAACATAATAATTGTAATAATAATTGCAATATATTGCAATAATAAATAAATAAATATACTTTTTAAAAATAAAAAAGTTCAAATCAGTGTTATGTGATTAGATAATTAATTGAATTTATTAATTAATTTATTAAGCATAATTAGCACGATTTTCATAATACTATACAATTTTATTCTAAAATGTAATACTAAAAAATAAATGCAATAATTTAATATGCTGATCGTATTATACAATAGTTAAATATAAGCCACTAATAGAAATTCTCTTAACATACATAATAGATCATAAATTTACAAGTCACAATGCTCTTCAAAAGTGTACAGTTAAAAAGAATGAAATACTAAGTAAATGTAAAATACGTCTTGTAAGAAATTGTGAATATATGCAGCGAAAAAAGGAGAGAGAAAATGTAGAAGAATGTAAGGCATGTCTTGCATGTGATAAAAAATGAAAACGTATAAAGTTGGCAATAGAAATGAATGAATAGCGTGAAAAACATTTAAATAATTTTTGAGAATGAAAGACCTATTTAAAGAATTTTAATCAAAACCAAAATAAAATAAATCAATTAAATCAAAATTCAAAATTATAACAGCAACGATCACAGCAAAAGGCTCAAGGCAATTGTGTCATAGATACATATGACAAACTATCTTCAGCCAGTGAACTAAGTGAATCTGAATGAGATCTTTTAAAGAAATTTTGTAATAACATTTATAAGTTCAAACATTCTCTTTATCCTACATGTAATGAGTGCTTCCCATCCATAAAACTTGTGAAAGATGAATGCCAACATTGTTATGCTGAGAAGGCCTCTCTGAAAAAGTTCTTAGTGGGAAACAATATAGACCTAGGTGAAGTTTCTGATGAACTTCAAGACCTTATAGAAATTGAGAAAATATTGATTACGTGAGTTTTTTCCATAATGTCAGTTTACTGACTTTGTGAAGAACAATACAGATATCATGAAAATGTGATCAACTTACTGTAAGATGTTTAGAAAATTGTCACAAAACTTCCTTGACATCTATCAATGTTAGACATGCTTGTCATATGTCATCAATCTGCAACTAACTCAGAAGTATTCAGAGATATCAGAGTTCATTATACTAAGGTAGTTCTCACATTAAATTGGTTAAAGAAAAACAATTGTTAATATGCTAACATAATTATTGATTATGAAGTTCTTTGATCCTTACCAGTTGATGGTTTAGTTGATGATCAGTTTTGAGATATTCAAATGAATGTTGAAGAGTTGAATTATAAAAATGAAGATGAAATGATTACATGCACCTTTGTATCACTTCTTTCTTCAGCTCATCATGAAGATACTGTTATCAAAAATACCCTTAACTATATTCAAAATGGAAATAATCCTATTACATGATCACAAATCAGTAATAATCTCATTAATGAATTTCAGATACTAGGATATATCACATGCGCATTTCCAACTTTATACCCAACCAGAAGTGCAGATCTACGAGTGACACATATTTGAAAAGTTAAGCCTGCTGAATAATTTAAGCATCACCTTTTGTATAAGTATGGGAGATTTGCATGTTACGCTCGATGGTAATACTTCACATTAAATTCACAAATGCGATGGTGTATATTACAGGAAGAAAAAATATATGTTATGCAGAACTTAGCTGACAATCAGATCACTGTTACAGATATCTAAGACAGAATTTTTTCAGGAGACCACCACATTGCTGATAGGATTATGCATTATGGTGAGGGTTTACGTAAATCTCAGCAATTCTGAAATTCTTGTCGTTGTGAACTTACTAATATGATTAAACAAATAGGATCACAAGGCTTAATCTTCCTTACATTTAGTGCAGCCGACTTGCACTGGTCTGAGCTTCATAAACTTATGCCATCTAGTAAAATTCAGCCAAATGCCATCAACAAAATATTATTGACAATCTTCATATTGATAACTGGTTCTTTTGTAAGTGATTTGAAATCTTCTTTAATGACATTCTGAAACAGCAGTAGGATTTAGAGGATTGGTAATATAAGTTCAAATAGCAATATCATGGTAGTATTCATGTGCATATAATTAGAAAAAGAAGAAATGCACCTGTTATAGAATGGAAGCAGATGAAAGAGAATGAAAACAAAATGAATGAAGTGTTTCAATACCTCGATAGTCTTGTTATCACAATAAATCCAGGACTTGATATGCCCATTCCTGAATGGAATCCATGCCAAAAAGAAAAAAATATTACATAATGACCAGCAAGACTATATCAACTTAATTAACAAATTACAAAGATATACCTGATGTAGCCTTGCGTATTATCTTCATATTAACTGAAAGGAAAAACAGATCTGTAGGTTTAAATACCCTAAAGAAATTAATAAACAAATATTTGTGTGAGATGATGAATGTAGACAACCAGAACTTGTAATAGCAAGAAATGATCCATATATCAATCTACATAGCTGACTTCAACTGTAAGGCTAGTGAGCTAATGTAGATTTAAAGCTAATTTTAAGCATACATGTTGCACTACAATATATTTCAAAGTATGCAAGCAAATCAGAACCACAGTCAGCTGCCTTTCCAGATATATTGAATCAAATTCTTAGTGAAAGTCAACCAGAAGATTCATCACTTATCTCAGTTCAAAAACTATTACTACATAGTATCTTAGAATGGAACATTTTCACATAAAAAACCTCTCATATACTTCTCAACACTCCCCTTTATCATTCAAGTCATCGATTTGTTTTCCTAAATCTTAAGAAAGAGGCATCAAGGTGGATTCCTGACACTGGAGAAGGTGATGAATTTGAAAGTAATGATTCAAAAAAAACAGAGAAATCGCCTCTGAAAATATATTGGGACTGGCCTGCTGAATTTGAGAATTTCTCTTTATTTCAGCTTCACTTGACACATAAATTGGTTAAAAATTGATAGGATAAATATTAAAAAGAAAATATTATTTGCATCTTTTCATGACTATCACCACTACATGAAAACTCTCAATAGGATGAGTTCTGCCACATAAAAGTCTTCTTTCATATTTACTACTGAAATCTTTAAGAATTAACAGAAGATAGCACTATCACATGGCCAACTTTATATAACTACTATATCAAGAAGATCAATACTGATCCAATTGATCTACTTGGATAACCTATAGATAATGTAGAAAATAAAATCAATGATAAAGAGGAAGAATTAATTAAAGATGATGAGCAGTATGAGTTTTGATCTGATTAAATGTTTCTTACAGAAATGGATCTGAATCCAACTTTTAATATTCCTCTGATCTAGAATCTCGAGACATAGATTAGAACTACGATTAGATTAATGATCTAAGATAATAATATTCTGATACAGATCTTATAGGCATTGATATATTCCTAAATATAGATTCTAAGGTTAATGTTAAAGTAGAAGAAAATTTAACTGTAGATTATTAAACATTAAATAATAATCAAAAAACAGTTTTCAAATGAATAAAATCCCATTACCTTGATATACTTGCAGAACATCAAGTTGATCCCATAAAGATAATTGTAATGAGAATCGCAAGAACTGGTAAGACCTACTTAATTAAAGCAATTTGAAGTAGGTTTCAAGAAATGGCAAGAATCAGATTTAAATTGCCTATAATTGTGCTTTTACTAATGGGAGTTGCAGCCTTTAATATCAATGGAGAAACAATACATTCAAAATTATCAATACTGATAATTAATAATGTAAAACGTCTTGACATACAGGGTGAATAGTTGAACAAACTACAGGATAAATTAAAAGATAAAGTTATATAATAATTGATAAGAAAAGTATGATCAGTCACTAAATGCTTGCTTTAATTGATATGTGACTCTGGCAAGCATTTCCTGAGCAAAATAATGAACAATTTGGTAGAAGATCAGTTATTCTGTTTTGACCAGCTTCCACCTGTACTTAATCTCCCTATATATGTCAGTACTAAACGAGATGCATTATCTAATAGTAGTTATGCAATATACAAATAGTTTAAGGAGGCATATATGCTTGATATTGTTCAACACCAATCAGGGAATTCTAAAGAACAACAAGAATTTAGAAATATTCTGCTATAGCTGTACAATGGAGAATCCACAATAGATGACTAGAGAACTCTTACTACAAGAATCAAAAATAATCTTAGCAGAACAGAACCCAATGGATTCACTAATGCTATGTCTATATTAATAAAGTAGTTTGATATTAATATAATAAATACAAACCAACTTAGATCTTTAAACATTCCTGTTGCCAAAATTCAAGCTATACATACAGGTGATAATAAAGCAAAAAAAGCTGATTCCAATATAGCGCATGGTCTTGAAGCACAGGTATTGCTAGCAAGAGAAGCACGTGTCATATTAACAGTAAACCTGTGAACAGAAACTGGACTAGTTAATAGTTCTATGGGAATTATTCAAGATATATTATTCAAAGAGAGCTAGGGACCACCTTCTCTCCCTATAGCAGTCTTGATTTCTTTTGATAATTATAAAGGTCCTACCATTACTAGCTTAGAAGGTAAAAATATCATACCAATTACACTAATTTGTCATACATGAAATGGCAAATCCAAGTTTATTTACGACTACAAATTCCTGTTTGGCTTATATGGGCAATTACAGTACATAAAAGTTAAGATCTTACCTTAGAAAAAGCTATAATAGATCACAGTGAAAAAGAATTTATTACTGATCTTTCATTCGTAACAGTATCCTAAGTATGCACTTTTGAAGATATTCTTTTCAAACCATTTGACTTTGAGAAACTTCAACATATCAAAGAAAGCAAAAGACTACAAGAAAGGTTAGATGAAGAAAAATGTCTAATTTCAATGATCCCAGAAATAAATGTTTCAAATATTACAAGAAATTAGCATCTAATTTTTTTTTTATTATAAAGTTAATCTAAAACCTAATCTTATCACACTTGTACTTATCATACGTAATACAATATTGTTTATCAATATTATATAATCTTTATTTGATTTATTTATCATTGTTTATTTATTTATTTATTATCAAATATTTTTCAGTGATGTAGTACATGCAGATATCTGAAAATTATCACATAATTGCATTTGTTCACTTCTGATTGTAGAATTTATATAATCTTCCACTTCACTCCAGACAATAAATTTTTACTTCTTATTTACTATATTTATTTCATCTTTTTATTAATATTTCTTATTATTATATTATAATTTTACTATTATTTTTATTATTTTCTAATATTACATCATATCTATTTTTATATTTCATTATTATTTCTTATTATTACAGATTTAATTTTTATATTAATTTTATTTTCAAATTTCTTTTCTATTCTAATTTATTTCTTCTTAGAATTTTTCTTTATTATTTTACATATTTCTTTTCATTTCTTTCTCATTATTTTAAAAGTTATTACATATTCTTATTAAATATATTTATTCTTAATTTTTTCAATATTATTATCTATTCTATATGTACTAGTATTACATATTCTATTATATATTTTTATAAAATTATTATTTTTATTTTTAGATATTTCCTTATTTTTATTAATTAATTCTTCATTTTTTCTTATTTTTTAAGTCTTATATAATAAATCTTCTTCTTTTTTATGATTTATATATATATTTGTATTTTTTCTTCATTATTTTCATTAGTTTTCTTTTTGATAATATAGATTACATGAATATTTTATAATCTTATCCTATTAGTTTCTTTTATCTTAGTTTCTATATAACCATTTTACATATTTATGACTATCTTTTAATTCTTTTATTCTAACAGACCTTTAATTATTTTCTTTTTCTACAATTTTAGATATTTAGGTTTCAGGTTTATGATTAGTTTTATCTTTTTATGAAATTTCTATATTACTAATTATTTAATTTATATTTCTATAATTTGTTTTATATTTTGTAATAATTTTTAATTGATTATTTATCAATTTATCATATGATTTAACTTTAATATTATAAGAATTGTAGTATAATTTTCATTAATTATTTTTTTCTTTATAATTTTTATTCAATTAACTATTTTTTAATCTTTTTAATATTGTAATTTAATATTATCTTTTTTATTGAAAAAGATCATATAATAGTATTCAGACATTTTACTGAATCAATTTTACTTAAAGCTCTGAATGGTTTAGATTAATCTGAAAATTTTCAGTTCAGATCAATTTCAGTTCAGTTTCAGATTGCAAAAAATTTGATCTGAAAATTTTCAGTTCAGTTCAGATTTTTTTCAGATTATAAATTAATTTGAATTGAAAAAATCTGAACTGAACTGAAAATTTTGGATTAATCTGAAATTTCAGATCATTTAGAATGATTCTTTTATCATTCTAATTGAATGATCTTTTTATTATTCTTTTAGAATAATAACTTCAATCATTCTAAATAAATGATAACTTTAATTATTTTAAATGAACGATTCTTTTATCATTCTTTTAAAATGATAATTTAATCATTCTAATTGAATAATTCTTTTATTATTCTTTTGGAATGATAATTTAATTATTCCAATTAAATGATCCTTTTATCATTCTTTTGAAATGATAATTTAATCATTAAATTGAATGATTTTCTTATTGTTCTTTTAGAATGATAATTTCAGTCATTTCAACCAAATGATTTTCTTCAAAATTCCAAAGAAGAATCACAAAGTAATTGTGAAATTCTAAGAGAATCGCAAATTACTTGTAAAATTCTAAAGGAATTACAGAGTAATTGCGAATCTTTTTAGAGAATTGCAAATTACTTGCTAAACTCTAAAAAGAATTGTAAAGTAATTGCGAAACTTTTAAAAGAATCGCAAATTACTTGCAAAATTTTAAAAAAATCACAAATTACTTGTAAAATTCTAAGAGAATTGCAAATTACTTGTAAAACTCTAAGGGAATCACAGAATAATTGCAAATCTTTTAGAGAATTGCAAATTACTTGCAAACTCTAAAAAGAATTGTAAAGTAATTGTGAAACTTTTAAAAGAATCGCAAATTACTTGCAAAATTTTAAAAAAATCACAAATTACTTATAAAATTCTAAGAGAATTGCAAATTACTTGTAAAACTCTAAGGGAATCACAGAATAATTGCGAAACTCTTTAAAGAATTACACATTGAATTTTCTTTGAGATTTGAATATATCAAACTGAACTTTCAGATTAATCTAAAATTTTCAGTTCAGTTCAGATTTTTACCAGTTTATGGTTCAGTTCAGTTTCAGATTAACATTTTTAAGATTTATAATCTGAACTGAATTGAATTGAAAATTTTGGTTCAGTTTTAGATTAACCTATAATTTAGATTGAACTAAATTGTTAGAGTATTAATTTCACTAAAATTCGCTTTGCTAAAGCTAATTCACTGAAAAGACTTTTCACTGAATGATTACTTTTCTGAATGGACTTTTTCAAAAAATGTTTTCACTGAAATACTATTTTACCAAAAAGACACTCACTAAAATACTGTTTTGCCAAAATGATATTTTCTAAATCCTTTTTGCTAAATAGATACATTGCTGAATCAATTTTACTGAAAGGATATTTCACTAAAAATGATTACTACATAATATTCATTTTTTAGGTTTCATATTATAAAATAAGTTATTTCTTAAAAATTTCATTGAAAGTAATAGAAAAAGTTCAATTAATCTGACAAGTTGCTAACAAATAATAGTGAATTATTTTTGTTTTAGTGAAATATCTTTAGTGAAACAGATTCAGAGAAGTGTCCATTCAATAAAATGGATTTGGTAAAATGTCATTTCGATAAAGCATCCTCTTAGTAAAATTTTCATTCATTGAAATTTCTCTTCAGTAAAAGGTCATTTAGCAAAATGGACATTCAGTAAAGTGAATATATAGCAAAATGTTCTTTTAGTGAATTGGCTATAGCAAAAAGAATTTTGGCAAAACGTATTGTAATCTCATATAATATATTAATTTGAGATTTTTTTAACTTTATAGCATTTTTTCTTAAAAATAAAAAATGAAAATATTTCTATTCTAATATTAAAATAAGATTGTTATATTATATATATATTAGAGATAACAAATTTTTAAAATATAATATTATAATAAATATATCTACATATTTGTTAAATAATTACAAGAATCATTATATGAGAATGATGATTTTTAAATTATATGATATAAGATAAAAAATAGCATTATTTAGTAAAATGTTTAAAAAAAAATTAGAAATAAAATTATTAAAGAATTATTTCAAGAAATTTTATTAAAGATGATAAAATACAAAAAAATAATAATATTTTTGAATAATATATTTAGATATTTTAACAGAAATAAATCTAAAATAAATGTTAAATCAAATTATTTTAGCAATAATAATACTTTATTGATAAAAGTTTAAAGATTGAAAAAGAAAGTAATAGTTTATATTTAATAAATAATATAAAAATAAAAATAAAAAATAAATTAAAAGTATTAAGAAAAGTGATAATCACTTACAATTATTCTCATAAATAGCAAAAGATTTTGAATCCTTAAAAGATAAAAAAATATATTAGAGTATAAAACATTTAAAAAATAGAATATTAATAGAAAAAAGAATTTAAAACTAATTCATATTATATAAATATGTTAAATCACTAATTTTTATATATTTTTAAAAAAATTAATAAAATAAAAATATTATAAAAAGCTTAAGTAACATTAAAATAAATCTTTACTTGTGAAATAAATTTTATTTAATGTTCAAAATGCAAAAATTTATTGAATCACATGATATTTTTTATCAAATAGTATTATTGATAAAATATCTAAAAGAAAATATAAGAGAAAAAGAAAATGAAGAAATTATGAAAAATCATTCTTTATAGAATTTGAAAAATGTTAAAAGTTAAAGAATTGAAAGAAATAATTTAAGTTTATTAAAATACTATTATAAAAATAATGAATCTAATATAAATAATAAACTAATATATTTTTGTAATATTATAATTCATATTGTATTATAATAGTAATTTTGAGAATATTTAAATTAAATTAAAAAATTTAGTTAATAAGAAAGAAAAGCAGAAATGATTTTAAATATTAAAGAAAATTTGACATTATGTTATTTATAATTATATTAATAAATAGCAAATACAGTTAATTCTTAATATAGCGAACTTTTGATATAATGAATTTTTTGAATAAATATAATAAAAAAACTCTTGTTATAGTAAATTGGCTAATCAAATCTTTTAAAATCTTTACTATAGCCTTATTATAAAATTGAAGTTTAGAATATAGAGTTCATTATAATAAGAGTTAATTATATTTTTAAAAATTTAAAAGAACAGAAACATATTATTATAAGTACAAAGTATCTAAAAAAAGTAGAATATCAATTAGAAGATAAAAAAAAATGAAGTTTAAGTCTGATTTATCATAAACAAATCTACTGTTTCACTAATTTTCAAATATTCTTACAAAAATAATAAATTCTTAGATATAAGTTTTTTATGATCTACTAATTAGAATTTTGTAAAATAATATTAAAGTTTTTAAAATTAAGAGTTTTACAATGATATAAATTTTATTATAAGTAAATTATTAAGTACTGAGATAATTGAAGAAATGCAATTATTTATTTTTAGATTTAAGAAATAAAATTTTATTTGAAAAATTGATAAATATTTTAATAATATAAAATAATAATATTTAATAAATTACGATAAAAATATAAAGAAATTTTATTAAAGAAGTAATAATAATCATGTGAAAAATTGAATTTAATATATTGTGATATATAATTAATTAATTTGAATAGTAATTAAAATACTAGTAAAGTTAAACTTAAAAGTTTAATTACTATATAATAAATATATTATATAGCCTATAACAAATATTAAAACTAATTTCATATAAATTTGTAATAAATTTAAACAACATGATTAGATATTAAAAGAAAAGTAGAAAGAAAAATAAGAGTAAAAATGAAAGAGTTAATAGTATAGTTAGCATCTCTTAAAATAATATTGAAAAAATAAAAGATAAAAATTTAATAATATGTAAAATTTTATTGATAATTATGGAAAAAAGAGAATATTAAAATTTAAAACAATATAAATAATTTAAATAAAGATATATTAATATAGAAAACTATTTACTATTATTACTATTATAAAAGAAAAAGAGAGGAAGCATAGTCTATAGAATAGCTAAAATAATAATAATAAATTGAGTTTTTAATAAATAAAAATGTTAATAGCATTTCTCCTAATAAAATTATTTAATAATATATTAATTATTAAGAAAAATATAATAAAAAAATTTAAATTCTTGACTTCTTATCAAAATTGCTTTAGTAATTTTTTAAAGTTTCTATAAAATTGATTTATATTTCTTTATAAATTTTGAGTTATTTTAACATTTAAAAGGTTTTGAATAATTTAACTTTAATACATGTATAATTATGTTAAAATTAAAAATTTTTATAAATTTCTTCAAGGTCTTTATATTTATGTTTATTATGAGATAAATAAGAAGATAAATAGTTAATCTTATTTGATAATTAGTAATTTGAGTAAAAAAAAAAATAAAATTGTTAAAGTCTATAATTTTCGATATTTAATTTATCTAATTTTGTTATTTTTATTTTTCCTTCTTGATGGTAAAGATTATATTATTAGTAAAAAAAAATTTGTTTGTAAAATTTTTACTTATGATTAATATAAGAAAGAAAAATTGCTTAAAGAATTATAATTTTGTAAAATAAAAAGATTTATAACAAATATTTATAATCAGAAAAATAACTGTAAAAAAATTCTTAAGATTATAAGAATTATTTTCTTGTATAAAAATAAATAAAATCTATTGGATAATATTTGATCAATCAATATAGAATCTATAGAATAATAATCTGTTTAAAATTAACATAGTAATATAATCACGAGAGATATCTAGTATTCAATATAGTTTTTATTTCATAAATTGTATTTTGATTTATTAATTAATAAAGTGCTAGTAGTATCTTATAAAAACTAAAAAATATATTTTTATGAGTAAAAAAAAACTCTTTTTCTATTCTTCTGATTTCTAAAATATAGATTAATATTAATAAAATAAATTATATATAATATTTGTAAAATACTTCATTGAGTGGTTTTATAGTCCTAATGTTGCAGTTGATTTTAGCATGTAATTAGTAGTGAATTTCTGATATTTTAGAAGATCATTAAATATATGAAATGTGTTCATGAGAGTACATTAATAGTTAATTTAGTTTTATAGTAATACACATTTATGATCAGATTTTATTAATTAGAAATAAGTTTAGAGAAATTTATTGCATTGTATAATTTTAAGAGTTTGACAAATGTATGCAAATAAATTCAAAAATTTAGAATGAAGATTTTTCTAATATAAAAATATACTTGCTATATTAATACATTTATGTATTATAAAAAGTTTAAGTTTTGTAATTAATAGATTAAAATATTAAATTTTGAATTTTGTTTAATATTTTCATAAACAATAATTAGAAAATTTAATTTATATAAATTTTTTAATAAAGAAATAAGTTTAAGTAACATATTTATAATGATATACAATTCAGAAATTTTGATGATTTACTCTTTGAATTCAATAATTAAAAGGAGTATTATTAGTTAAAATTATACTATGCCTTAGATGACTTACAATGTGATGATTATTATAAAAGTGACATATGTAAAACATGTAATATATGTGATATATGTGATGTTTGAATTACTTTGTTAACATATATTAAATAATTTAATTTTTCATAACTTATATTATATAGGTATATTTTACTTTTTATTTCTTGTATAATATTATTACTTTTATTACATGTATTAATTATTATTATCAAAAGACTTAGCATATTAATAGTTAGCAAATTTGTATAAATGGACCTGTAAGTTGACCTTGAGTTAATAGAATTCAATCAGATAGTTTTTTTTTAATAAGTCTTGAGATTAGACTTATAACTTTACGAATTATTAAAGTTACTATTTATACTTTCACCTTTTTCTTATCTTCATTATAGGATTGATTGTAACAATTAACTATAACAAGTAAATCATGATAATAAATTGTTTATTTCTTTTGGGGAAGGTCTTTAGATAATTGAGATTTTAAGATATTTAATAATTTTTTAAGAAAATAAAAATTTTCAGAGATTCAAATTTTAGAAGATTTTATGACTGACTTCATATCAGATATCTAATTTCGTGTCAGTAATAGGAATTAAATTTGTTAAACAAAAATTGACCAATATAACTGAATCATCTGAATTCCACTTCAGACGAAAATTAATTCAGTCACAATAATTACACTTAAAATAAATATTTCGTCTCAATACAGTATTCATTTGCATCAAAATAACTTAACGTTAAATTTTTAAAATTTCAATTTTCCAATATAATCATTGATTTATTCAATCATTGTAGCAAGCAAAAGCAAATTGACAATTTCATTACATATTAAGAATCATACATTAATATAAACCCAAAGCCTTCTAATCCATTAACATAACAATTCGACATGTATAAAGTTTTTATGATAAATTTTAAACACAATCCTTTTACCAAAGTTATTTTGCAGGTTAACTAGTTTCATGATATTGATTTTAAATGCAAAAGGTCCCTTCAATTTTTTAAAACATTTTTCCATAAAATAATTCAAAGAATTAGTGTCATAAACCCAATTTCTTTTCAAATGTACTTTTTTAAGATTTCCCGGAATGATGTTACCTAAACGTATTAGTTCATCACTAATATCAATATTAGATAAATCATCATCCGTATAAATCTTAAATATTTCAAGAAATGGACAATTTTGAACAAAAGTGGGTAATAAAAAAGTTAAAGAATCATCAAATATCCCATTAAAATAAACTAAATTTGTGTAATTTTGCACAATGACTTTAGTCAGCTCAGATGAATGACCAGAATAAATCTTCAATGAAACAGATTTGAGGGTATGCACAAGGAGTTTTCTGATTTTAGTCATATGTTCATTGGATACTTCCTTGATCGAGATTTTCTCAAGGTTATCCAGTCTAAGACGGTTCAAACCCACGTTTGTAGAATTCTGAAAGAAGTTATTTCCAGAAACTATTAATTTTTTTAAATTAATACATTGAGCCAAGAAATCTGTAGAAACTGAACTATCATAAATCGCAAGACATTTAAGAAAAGATGCTCTATTTTTCAATTTTTCAGACGAACTGTTTGTTGGAAATTGAACGTCACTGTATTCAATCAATAATTCCTCTAAATATGCCAGAGATTCGATAAAGTAAGTCAACGCTTTGTTTTCCTTTAAATGACTGAGGTTTAAAATCTTGATTTGTTTACAAATTCCGGAAAGTGCATAAAAAAATTCATCGCAATAAGAAAGTAAACAATCCAAAGTCATTGTTGTTATATTGACAAGTCTACAATTTGCTCCTGGGAAATGATAAAAAGGTATAATGAAAATTTCTTGAATTACAAAAGACCTAAATTCAAGATTCGTTAGATTAACGCATCGATTCATTAATAACTTGCAAAGGTATTCCATCAAATGATAAGTTAAGCTCTTTTTTTGTTGTTCTTGATTGATTTGCTTGGTTAAAAAGACATTTACAAATTTCAGCAAAGTTGAATATTCTAACTTGTCCATAAAAGAAGGATAATCAATGCTTGATCCAACTTTGATCCAATGCTCGAAACGGATTCCCTTTTCTACTAAATCGTCCTTAGCTTGCTGTGATAAACAGGAAATTAAAGTATGAATTGTATCGGCCGGCTTCATGGGTTTACTCCAAAGTATTTTCAAGGCAACCAAACTCCAAGTTCGTTTTACAAGGGAGCAAGAGTATAAATCCTTCTTCAATAGCCCTTCCTTAAATATTCTATGAAGAACTTCAATAGGTATTTCCATAATTATAATTAGGTCTTATTTCGATAACAGGGATTTATACTGAAGCGAAAACGATTGAGTAAATGTGTAACGTAAAAAGGAAGATCGGAGATGTCAAATTAAGTTTTATACTAGTACTGTTACACAAAAATCACAGGTTTTATTTATAACGCGTCAAATTTTATCTTCTATGAGAACTCGTGAATACTAGCATTGTCGACTAAATATTTATTTAAGCGAATATTGAAACATTTGTTGTCACAAGACGTTGAGTTGTAATCAAAAATAGAATCTATTATACTGTATATATAAGATTAAAACTAAAGAATATCTCGCCGATAATAAAATTATAGAAATTGACGATTTATTTGTATAAAAGAGAAAAAAACAGATTTTTAATAATAATTAAAATAAAAATAACTGTTATCATTCCAACAACACGCAATCAAGCTATCTTTCCCCCAAAAGAATAAATAAATATTAAAAGAGATTGGTAAGTCGCTGATGATTGTGTATGCTTTTATAATTATTGCTATTCATAGAAATAAATAATAAAAGCTGAGCTGACAATAATAAACATAAAATTGCGGTCAATTAAATATATGAAAGATTATATGTTTGATTTTAGATTAGAATGTTTTAAAGTCAAGGATATGTTTAGTTAAATTTATACAGTATATTCCCACAATAATTTACAATTTCCACAAAAAATTTTAACAAATCTTTTATCATCACAAAGTACAATTGTTCGTTTTCTAATAAATGGAAAACTTAAATTTTTAGATCATCTAAATCATCTAAAGACATAAGGCTGCATTAATAAGAATAAAGTTAGTTTAAAAATTATAAAGTTTAGTGCCCAACAATAAGAATGTGAGTTTAATTAGATAATGATTACCTAATAGGTTTAGTAAAATCAAGGATTCTGCTAGTATATATAGCTTGTGAATTGCTCCTCAGATGTAGTTTTTGTTTATCAGTAGTTTGTTTTGATAAATAATCATCATAAACTTTTAATTGATCTATAATTTCATCCTTTATTTCCTTCTTTTTATTTAAAAACCAGTTTAATGATAATTCATATAATTCCTTAGAGGATTTTCTTTTGGAAGGGTCTTGATTCCAACAATTTTCCATCATTTCAAGATAAAATGAAGGTATTTCTTCTCTTTTAAATTTAGGGCGAATGCCTTTGCATATATCAATTGATAGAAGATGGTCATGTTCCACATCGTTAAACGGTTGATTTCCAGTAGCAATCAAATACATAATCATTCCTAAAGCATATATGTCTGCAGCTTGAGTGTACGGCTTTCCTAATAATACTTCAGGCGGTAAATAAGGCAAAACTCCGAAAATGTCCCCATTTGATTTCATCTCATTATCAGCTGGACCGCTTAATCCCATATCTGAAATACAAGTATACGAACTATCTCTTATCAAAAGGTTACCAGAATGGAAATCTCTATGAATAAACCCATTCATGTGAATAATATTGAGCCCTTCAATAATTTGATGAAGAATATATAAATTATCTACCCAATTATGCTTGTTTTTATCGGAATTTAACCAATCACACAGATTTCCTATCATCAATTCAAGAACCATAATATATTCTTTAGATTGTGGATTTTGTGAGATACCAAAACATCGAAGTACTCCATTATCATGAAGTTCGATTGGATAATATCTAATCTATTGAGATAAAGCATAATCAAGATTAAATAGCGTAGTGAATAAATTATATGATACATTATGAATTGTGAAATCTACCTCATTTAAAAAATCATCATTGATATCTTCTGAATCATGCAAACACTTAAGAGCGACGCACTCATCGTACCGGTTAAATCTATTACCTTCCTCATTGTACTGTCTTAAAATTCCATTTGTCCAAACCGCAGAATAAATTGTGGCGAATCCACCTTTTCCAATTTGGGTGACCTCTTCAAATTTTTCGTAAGGTATCCACTCAAAGAATTCGTATGGACTTCTTGCTTTTTGTTGTTGACTTCTTATGAAATCATCAATTTTTTTATTTCCACTCCAGGCACATATATTATCTTGTGCATATTTCACTGAGCAATTTTTGCACCAACGGATTTTTGAATAATCATATACCTCTACATGTGAATAAAGGTCTCCACACTTTAAACAGGGTTCATCGTTTTCATTAAAATAAATTTCATTATCTACAAATAATGCTGAATTCATGGTAGCCTAATAAATCAATTTATGAAAGCAAAAGTATTTTTTTTTTTTTAAAAAAAAAAAGCTCTAATCAAATTTAGAATTTAGGTAAAGATCTACATAATAGGAGTATTGTTAGGAATATGTGTGTTATTGGCTGATCACTTTACTCTATTCTCGAATGTTTTGATCCCCCGATTATTTATATAATTGAAAAAATCCTTCAAATTTATGAAAGGGAGGAGAATTGAATTTAGATAATATTAGAAAGAAAAAAGTATAAACGTTGTCAAAATTTACCAAAAATAGCGTTTAATTAATTAGTCAAGTAGATATTAGGCACAGTTTGTGAGTGAATTAAATAAATTTGATTTTTTTTGCGAATTATTTCATATATAATAATTTTACCTAAAATTTAAAAATTTAAATATTATTTATTTATTTTCACATATTCTTAAGATTTATCTTGGATGATGGTCGCTTCCGTTATTATGACCAAAGAAATATTCGTATTATAACTATAACATAAATGGTTATTATTTTTTGAACCGAATTGACGACTATGACCACCAATAAAACAAATTCTCGAATCGAATCTTTGCTAGGTATTGAATTAAAATTCTGGTATAAGTGGTCGACCGTCAAAGGTTAAGGATCCTAGCTCTTGAAGATCCACGCTTTTTTAACGCTTAAACTTCCTTCATAAACATCTAGGTTCGTGACTTCATGACGACCAACGAAATAACGAAATAGGATTGTCAGTATTTCACTTACGTCACGTTAATTGCGTTATTTTATGACTTATATAAAGTCTGCGTTCCTTTCCATTTATAAAATTCAAGGCTCAGATTATGCAATTAAACTTTAAATTTTTTAAAGTATTCATCTCCAAATATAATTTGCTAATTTTTTTTTTTTTTTTTTTTTTTTAGCAAATACGTCAAGATTTAACATTAACTTAGAAAATAATATTTTGAAGTTTCCTTCCTCCATTTCAATTGCAAATTGCAAAGCGTCCATATAACAATCCATTATTATCTTTCGTGATAGGATTTTTGGTGATTTCATAATAATCGAAAATGAAATATGTAACGAAGAAAATTTTAATTAAAGCTTTCATCAATTACTGATTTGATTTCTCCTTGAGACCTTTATGTTTAAAGATCTTTGATAATTATTCAAAATCTAATCTTCATAAATTTGCAAATCCCCCCTACACTAAAATTTAACGAACCAATATTTTGATCAAAAATATATATATATATATATTGTGGCACAGAATGTATATTTGGATTCCAATCGTTACGAAAAGTGACTTTATTGATTGAATGACTGGTTAAATGGATGTTCAAGGTTAAGGAATCCTGACATTCATAACACAGGAGCTGCAATATTTTTTAATCATTAATTTGGTTAATATTTCCAAATTTAAGAGTATTCACGTGAAATAAACATTTTATATACCTTATTAAAAATTTTCTTGCTAAAGATTCAATAAATTCTACATTCAAATTGAAGTTTAAATCATAAGTAACAACGTTTAGCTCAGTATTCGCGTCACAGATGTCAAAATAATTCAGATTATTTTATTTAAAAAACTAAGGTGGTCTGAGGCGTAACTCAACAATCCCACATTACCACTACCCCGCTATTCAAACATAATTTATATTATAAAAGGAAATATAGTACGCCCGCGATCGACCTGAAAAGTAAATAAAAAAAAATTGAATACAAACTTGAAATAACTGAATAAATAAAAAACAATATAATGAAAAAAATCTGATGAAATTAACAGAAATCGCTTTTAAAAATGAAATAATTTAAAATATAATCTTTTATGGATCCAGTCCGAAAGCTAAAAAAAAATAAAATTAAGGCTACCGACAACATTGCTGAAAGAAATCCAAAGGATCATAAATATAATTTATCGTAAAAGTAGAGATGGTCATGATCAATATTATTCGTAGTAAATGTAATTGGATAGGAGTTTGTATTTTGATTATTATAACTAAGGAGGATGATACAATTATCGGTGCAAACAAGCGTATTATGAAAGTAAAATTTTGGATGCAAGCACTTTTAACATGGAAGAAATGGAGATTTTTTGAATTTATCAAAGGTTTATGTTTACTTCAATTGATATTATACCGCAGTCATTGTTTCAAAATGTTTTTCGAACTTTTTTTTCTGGATAAACTAAAAAACATTTTACAATAGTCGGAGAAAAAGAATTTCATGAACATTCTAATATTTTGTGAACTAGCACTCATTTTAATCGCAGAACTTGGTTATAAAGGGACAAAAAAACCGGAAATTTTCCGCGGAATAAAACCGCGCATAATATTAAAATATGATCGTTAGGTTAGCGAGTATAACTTTCTTTATTTTATATTACTATACTACTTATTAATAATAGATTTTTTATTTTTTCCCTACTGCTATCTTTCCTTCCCCAAACTTTTTTGAGAAAAATTCAATTAGAAAACATGACAAGAAAAATTTTCTGAAGTTATCGACTGGCCTTCTAACAGCCCTGACATAAATCCAAATCTCTGGAGCATTGTTAAAAGAAATGTGGAGAAAAAAAAAATGCCAAAAAAGATTAGTAGAATGGGATGATATTCGTAAAGAGCAATTTTGTAATTCCGGATCTGATTTTTTTGTCCCACACTGTACCTTGACCGATGAAGTTACATTCCTTGATCTTTTTCGTAGCATCTGATGAATTGAATTGGATTAGTGATATTGAAAGTATATTTTATTAAAAATAATTTGATTTAAATTCTTCAAAAGTTCAAGTGGTTGATTAATATTAAAGCGACGAAAATTACTATTGTGGCTTTAGATACAAGTAGATTTTATATTAGAAGCAACCAGGATTATAGATTACTTGTAACGTGTTATAAAGTGTAAAAAAATTTTGGAAAGAAAATGAAATATTTTTTTTTTTTTTTATAAAAAAAGTGCTCCTTGTCAATTTAGGAAATATTTTAAAAAAGACTAAAAATTAATATATTAAGCAAAATGTATTAAAATATTAATACTTTTACAAAATATATTTAAATCTTTTATTTTTAGGGAGTGTTATCATATTGGAAGATTACCTATTCAAAATATCGAGAAAATGTTTCACATATAGTAGAACGTTATCTTGTACATCAATTTGCTATTAATTTAGGGATCCATTTACGTACATATTTAAGATTATTAGCAGCAGAACAGAATACGGCAATTGACAATTTAAAATTGGAGAGTTTGTAAGGTGAAGATCCACCAGTATCTAGCCAACCAACGTGCAGAATGGAAAATAATGTTAATGCTCTTTATGATATTATTTGTCGTGTTCGAAATATCTTGTTTAAGAAGACTTATTTAAAATTATATCTATAGTTCATGAATATAATCCTCAATTTATTCATGAGTACTTTGTGTCAGATTTTTTTTTTGTTTTATCAACTAAACTTTATCTATGTATTTTTTCATATAAGCTAAATGTCATTAACCTTATTTTTACGGCCTTAAATATCTATACATAACGTACTGTATTTTATTATTTAATAAAACAATCATGATTTACCTCTTTAAATTTGTACAACTTAATTGTTACGTAATTCACGTCTTTATAATTACTGCGTAATGCATCAGATGATATCGTTAAAACAATTTTTGAAACTTAGCGAATGGTTTCCAGATTAAATCACTCATTTATGGTTTTTACTTGAAGCATTAATAATGATTTCATAAGCCCCTTCTCGACATTTCAATAAAATATATCGAACGAACTTATTAGTTTTAATAGGTCCCGATACTTAGATATATACATGATTTCATGATTCCCCGTGACAAATATTTCACGAAACAATTTTCAAATTCCCATAAAAATGAAAAAATGAGGGGGAGGTATCATATAAATTTAAGGATTAATTTAATTTCTGCCGACATTAATTTCCATCGGTTAATGAAATTTTATTGAATACGATAATACAATATATTCATTTTATATAAAGCCTTTAAATATGCTAATCTTCATCTGCTACTCTGACTCTCTTAAATCCAATTGTTTAACATTCTACGTAATTATATTTTCAAATATAGATTACACAATGGTTGACGTTTTCTTTGTTCCCGGACCATTTTAATACTAGATTTACTAATATTCTCGATCCAATAGAAAGGCTTGGTTTTGATTGTTATTAATTCTTGATTTTCTATCCTATCAAATTTATTTGATTACCTCATTTAGCTTTTAAAAATGAAATGTCAGACTTAAGCCTTTTTTGCTTATAATCTCATCGATTATTTTATTTGTTATGTTGTGCAAATTTCAGATTTCTATCGAAGATTTACAATAAAATTTCTATTGGGAAAATTATTCCTAATTGAGAATGTTCCGAGAGCTTTTTCAGTATTGTGTTTATGACTCCGTTTGCGGAGAAACTTTATCTTTTTTTAGTAGTTGTATTATTTAAAGGACGAGGTAAAAAACGTAATGCAAATTGCTACAGTTGGATAAACTGAAGATTTTTTATTACGTTCTTTATGTTACAAGAATTCTATATAACAACCGGGACTGTGGAACACAAATAAAATTCAAAAAAAAAAAAAACCTTTCAATTATCACGGCACACATAAATATCTCTTGAGAACATGGAAACACAAATAAAACTACCGGATTTAGTAAATTGATATAATTTCTTAGCATCTCATTAGTTAAATTATTTATAAATGATAACGTTTCCTTAAATGGTAAAGCAGAATATGATACTGTTCAGCTTTTACCTATATCCGAAATCATTTGAAAATCCAAAAAATCCAAAGTTTATGTCGGATATTGAAACACTTACGTTATACACTTTGATTGTTTGAAATGCCTACACTATAGTTGCGGGGCAAAACCCTAAACCCATTTTGGCAAAAGTCGAAACTTTTCAGAATTTGTTTCGACAGTTTCGACGGGTTTCGACGGGTTTCGACGGGTTTCGATGGTTTCGACGGGTTTCGACGGGTTTCGATGGGTTTCGATG